AATGCATGCCTGCTTTGAAAGTTTTGCAATATTTAACTTTTCTTTTTGGCCTCAGGTGACAATCGCTTCCAGTCCCAAGGAGGACCCAACTGGTGGAAACAGATTATTAAACTATGTCCTTTACAACCTCTGAAAGCCTCCTTGGAGATGCCTCCACCTGGGGCAGTGCCTGACCCCCAAGGGGGCCAGCGAAGCCAGAGGGTCTGGGTTGCAACCCACTGGTCTCCACACCTGTGGGGTGCAGGCAGGTGGACTCGCACGGCTGCTAGGGCACTGTGATGGGCTGTCACTTGCAGGTCAGACATCTAAATCCAAAATACTTGCTCAGCAGAAGCAGAGATCTGTGATAATTTGCTTCTACCTTCATTTTACAGGATGTTGAAAAAAAATGTAATGGTTTCCCTGTGGGGTGGTTTGCAAAGGGAATACAATTTGTTTGTACTTTATTAATCCTGTAAATATGTTAGCAACAGAGCTATGTACTCGGCTCTTGCATATCTTTTTCAAACAGGTTTCACAGCATTTTACTACAGCTGTCAGTAACACTGCCACAGTGTTACAGGTTGAGGAATTGAGATGGACTAGTCCAGAAAGGGGATTTAAAAACACCCTTCAAGGTCTCAGGCAACTACTCTGTGCTCTGGGACAATATTTGCACCTTCTGTTATTCTGGCCTCACTATTGAAGTCTTCTCTCCAGCCCCACCACTGCCGTCGCTGCTAAGACATGCAGAAAGGCCGACCTAATATTCTGGGCATGATTTATTAACTTCAGTTCTGTCTGTCCATCTCTTCCACTGCTGACACACATAACTCAGAAGGTGTGCCTTGCCAGCAAGGCTAGTGCACACTACACAGGCAGCTCCAGCGATATATAGATACGTTTTCCACTACAGACCCTAGAGCATGGTGCCAGTTGTCAGGATGTACTGGAAAGCTGACTGGATGGAGGAGCCAGCACGGGACAAGGACCTGGGACACCCTCTGGAGTTCAGCTTCTAATGGTGATGGGTGTTTTTGTCTTCCTCAGTCCCCCACAAATCCAGACCCTGGTACCTCTTTAAAAACTGTACAACAGGCTGTCAGACTGTAAACACCCATAAAAGAATGACCAGCAAGGCTGAAAAAACGCCATGGCTGAAGTCTCAACCCACTGCAATATCACACGTCTGGTACCAGTCTAGTAAATACACATTAAGTCTTATGAAAGATCTTCCAGCAATATCAAAGTAACTGAATTCCGGTTTAAAATGTGAAGCTGAAGAAAAATAAAGACCAGGGAGAAGGAAGAAGAAGGAATCCACTCCAGAGCCATGGTGCCCTGGTATATGCTTCCTAGGGCAATCTGAAGTGCAAACAAGGCCATTTGCTTCCCTGGAGCTGTAACACAAGGATTGTGTTCCACAGAATCCCCTGCCTGCAGCATGTCCCCACTCGCCACAGCCCTGACTAGCTCATGAGTATGCTAGAACAAACTCTCTGTACACAGTTTCCTCATGAGATCGTAGCTAGGGCGGCAATACTGTGTCACGATTTATCCAGATTTTGGTCTGTAGATCTATAGGAGACACACAATAAGAGTCCTGACTTTCCACATTTTTTCTTTAATAAAGTTGGTGAGGAAATGCTCTTACCCAGACATGCTCTGAACATAACTGAAGTTTAGAATCAAGCTAATGTATTTTAGACATAGTCATCTTGTTACTGCACTGGATTTTCTTTCAAATACCCACCTTCTGGTGCAGATATATACTCCTGAGTCTTCTAGCATTGCTGGTAAAAACCAGAGTGCATCTTCTTTTGCCCAGATTCTTGGATCTTCATCTCTTCCTGATATCAAGCTTTTTGAACCATTTTTATACCATGTGATATTAGGGATCAAGGCAGAAAAATCCAAATGTTTGTGTCTGGGGGAAGGGCATTTCAGAACCACAGGTTCTCCATGCAGTTCATAGTAGTGTTTGAAAAACACGGTGTGGTCTGGGCAGTTTTCTATATAAATCAGAGATATTTTTACATTATTGTCAGACAGGCACATTAAAAAGAAAGGAGAGGGAGACAGAAAAAAAAGACAGAAAACATGCCCTTACCTATGCTTTTCACTTGCTGGAGTCTAAAAGCGGAGGCGCTTGCTGTGCACATGATCAGGACAAAGAAGAGCCCACGCATGTTTTCCCAGAGGAAATAAGAAGGAGGCAGCTGAGGAAAAGCGTCTTGAAACCTACAGGGAAGTTTATTACAAGACTGAAGGTACAAGGAAAATACTCAATGTTAACTGCTCTTTTCCTTGCTCTGACCCTGGTGAGCTTTAGTTCACCCTTAGTGAGCAGAAAGGCTTCTTCATCCCTAGTTTACGGGGGCTGACTTGTGGAAAAATAGCGTCTGGCTTGGTACAAACACAGCACTTCTGTCCCTTTCCTTTCACTCCAGGAGATGCGAACAACATACCACAAGATGCTGCTGTCCCCACAGCTTTGCAGTGCAACAGCTACGCGTGGAAAAATCTAGCTCTGCTTATTTTGCAATACGATGTGACTGAGGCACGGGTCAACCACTTCGTGTTAGATGTAGTGTTGTAGCTTGGGTGAAAACAGGAGCAAAAGTGAGGCAGAATAGACTTTAGCTCTCTTGAGCAGTCGCTTCAGGTGTCTCCCAAGGTTGTATGGCCCTCATTAAATCCTGTGTTGCTTTATCTTCCCCACTATGGCTACCAAAGTAGGCCAGCTCATGTAGATCAGGCTCCAGGCAAACTTCCTGCTTGCAGAGCCAAGATTTCAAGTCTCCAACAAATTTTTCTCCTGGAACAAAAAACTTTGACTCCCATGGCATGCACACCCATCTTGCTGTTGGTGTGCAGGTGAGTTTTCAGTGTGGACACTATTACCATCTGTGCTAAAAAAAATGAGGAAAACCCTGAACAAACTGTCCTAAAAATCAGACATGGCGACACTAAGGAAAAACAGAACTGTCCACTGCCAGTCATTCATTAATTGTCATCTGTATTGGCCTGGCAAGGTCAAGGCAGCTTCTGGGTACATCACTCAATGCCCTCTGGTCCTCCATGAGGTTTCAGATGCTGCTACTCAGCTGATAGATTACAGGTTATCTCAGTGTACTGCAGGCAAAAATACATAAACCATGCTATATACAGGCACCCATTTATGCTCTGTGTAAGGTATTTATGTGCAATATGGTACACATATGCATGTGATATATACTATTTCCATTTTATATACAGAAATGTAAAATTCATGCGTTTAACATTAGTCTAACAGGATGCTTGTCCCATACAATGAATATTAAATGACCAGACAACTACTTCAAATTGTATCCAAAAGCAAAAACATATTTCTACCAATACAACACAGTCACATTCATAGGTACTCATCTTCAGACATCTTCTGTGTATCCCATAATGCTCATATTCATGATGCAGTTTTAATACAAATTTCTCCCTGTTCTAGTAGCTGTATTTATCTGACACCTGATAGCTTGACTATAACGAACTATTTCCAGCTTACTGTCATCTCTACAATACCACAAAGCCAACCTCTTGCTCCATAATACTCTTTCATAACCACAAGTTGTCTCCCCTGCTGCAAGGGTTTTCAGGGCATTGGCATGCAGCTTGTAGCCCCTCTTGGCTACACCTGGACTAGGTGGTAGTGCCTTTGGCTGCGGCATTAACAAGCCCCACGGTTCACATGTAATAAATACTCCATAACAGGGGAATTTCTCTCTGATTAGATCCTTTGCCTGATGAAAGTGCTTGGTAATTCTGTTCAGAGCTTTCCGGTCCCCTTGGTTTAGTATCTAGCAATCTCCATAAGCCTTACACAATCTGAGGATTTAGGGGAGGTTTTAATCCTTAAATTTCCATCAGAATCACTTACCTGTGCTTCTGCAGTCTTTCAGCCATTAGCTTCTCATGAAAAGATATAAGACTGAAATATGCTAGTAAGGACCTTTATATAGGGTTTCGCTCAACGCAGAGCGGAAATTTGTCTCTTATTGCCCAATCAAGTTTGTGTCAGAACCAAACGACACTTGAAATCCACCTTTCTTTCCTTCCGTAGAGTGAGGATGAGAGAAACAGACACAGAGAGAGGGAAAATATGTATTTGGATTTCCCAAAAAAGGGGAAATGACTGCTAAATATACGAACAAATTTCCCTTTTTCTGACGAACAGTGGTTTGCCTGCACTCATGTCTTCACATGACTATTTCACGCTCTAACTCAAAAAAAAAAAAATTCTCATGGGTAACAAAAGGTGTCCTGCAGCATAGTCAGCAGCTAAATAATGTGGTTTAGCAAGTTCTACATGAACAACATAAATCTTCCGTGATTTCCCAGATCGCTTGTGAATCACAAATGGCTTGATTCCCCTTTCCTTTCGTAACATCGATCTTAGTGTCACAGCTTACATTAGGGGTCTCTTTGCCATGGAGTATAAGTAATTAACAGATATAAGCAGATCATGGTGTCCAGGCTCATGAGCAGAAGGGGTAAGAAATGGGTTATGAACTCTGGCAATGTTGGTCTCCACCTGTTTAGAGGAGGGCATTCTAGTAGAGGACTGCAGTCTGAAACTGGACCACAAGCCAGGGTTTCTTGTGCCTTGTCCTGATGCATGATGCCTCCTGCAGGCAATCATGCATTTCTTACAGCCTCTTGATCCCTCAGGGAGCAGCTGCCATGCACTGTCCCATTGCTAGCCCAGGCAGGCAGCATGGGGTGTCTGTCTGCCCTGCCAGAGCTGGGGTTGGCACACAGTCCCCTGCTAGCAGACCTCAGAAAAATACTCTCCTCTTCCTGGACTTTGTAAACCTTAGCTGAGCAGCTCTGATCTGTCTCATTGGAGTCCTAGCCTAAGGCTTAGGCTTTGTGGTGCTCTCACTAACCAAATAATGACTGAGTAATAAAAACAACGTAGCTGTTTATCGCAGTAAGCATGTAAGGACCATTTTTTATTTAACCCTAACATAATTCATTAACTCACTCTTTAACTAATACCAGCCTCAGTTATACTGGGGACTATTGTTTAAGAGATGAAAGATATTGGAGAATACTGTTTAAGAGATTAAAAATCAGCAGGTTTTGAGATTGTGCTGCTGTCTACTATGGAGAGAAGAAGCTTATAAATTATGTCACCTATTAATAATATAGTAGTAATATACTGCAATCTTTGGGGGTGTGTTATATGCTTGGATTGCACATATTCTATTGTGCAGGTGATATCTACCACATTACAGGCATGTATCCATTACATACACCACATAACTTCAGTAAATAAACGAAAAGAAAAAAAAACCCAAAGCCTCACATTTCAATCTGTAATGGTCTTTACAGTTTCTATATCCTGATCAACACAGTCATTGCAAAGGTTTCTCTAGCTATCAGCCCCACACATAGCTGCCTGGTTTTCCTTAAGCAATCCTGTTATCCATAAACCTGAAAGGCTGATAATGCAACTAAAGTCAGTTACTGCCCTATAGTGCTCCATCTTCTAGGTGAAAAGAAAGAACTCATCTGATGCTAAACTCCCACATTTGGGCTATGAAACCACTGGCCTTGCTTTCTGGAGCCCCTGTACTTTATTTTGAAAATCTGACCTCATGAATTATAAAATTACTTCAGTCCTTCCTTTTCCAGTTCACTGTATGGCAACCAGACAGGAGGGCTATCAGATTGGGTGACTTATGTTATATTAAGTCTAAGTTCAGGCTGCTACCATATGAGTGACTTACCCAATAAAGGTGGGAGTCTCTAATGGCAACCCCGGTCACAAGAGCCAGATAGGTTCCCAGCAAATAACCCAGACATTTACCAGACCCAAAAAGAGCAAAACTGCAGGAAATTAGGTTTGATGTCTTTGAGTAGATTGCACCTACCAGCTGCTGCAAGCACATTTACTGCTTTCACTGAGTAAGGCCACCTGACAGCAAGCTGCTCAATGAGCAGCAGAACTAGCAAGCCATACTTTCTGGAGATTTGTGCCCCTTGCCCTTAACATGCACACCCCCGCTCAGACTGCAGCCACTTCAGCTCTCCCCTCATGGCCTTTCCCCACTGCACTCCAGCCCTTTCCTTCCCCCCACTTCATGTCCTCTGCTCCCACCTCACCCACAACCAGCGTGTTTCTCGGACAGGTGCAGCAGCACATCCTTGGGCTCACTCGCAACTATGTCAATGCTAAACTGGTCAACTTTAAGCTGAAAGAGGGTAGACTTAGATTAGATATTAGGAAGGAATTCTTTACTGTGAGAGTGGTGAGGCACTGGCACAGGTTGCCCAGGGAAGCTGTGGATGCCCCATCCCTGGAGGTGTTCAAGGCCAGGCTGGATGAGGCTTTGAGCAACCTGGTCTAGTGGAAGGTGTCCCTGCCCATGGCAGGGGGTTGGAACTGCATGATCTTTAAGGTCCTTTCCAACCCAAACCATTCTATGAGTCTATGTTTCTATGAACTTGGCATTGCCCATCAGCATGTGTAAAGACTGGACTCTGCCTGCCTTTTCCTCCATGAAGCAATGTTTTGGGTTTCCCATCTGTACACACTACCAGTGACCAATTTTCATCACACTTCAACAAATACAGACTCTTTGAAAACACAGCCCCTTGGAACATACAGATGAAGCAGGCTAAAGTATTCAGAGTGAGTGTATAGTACACTAAAATATGCTGTCCTGCCTTAGAAAACTAAACTAAAACCAAATAGCTACAGAGTAGCAGTACAGTTCTCAGATAGCATTATGACCTCTGATACACCTAACAAGAATCAACGTTTTAAATTAACTTTCTTCAGAAGAGCTCTGTCCTGGCTGTCTTTTTACCCAGAAAATGTCCTGATCACATGCCTCAGTACCAGGACTTGAAGTTAACGTAGTATATCTGGAGGTGCAAAAGCCTAGTTTAAAATAACTCGTGAAAAAAGGAAAGATAGAACAAGCATTTTTTTAGGAGCTGTCTGCTGAGAAGGCCGTATCACTTTGTGGTCAGTTATTACTGAGTATTTGTAAACAGAAATATGCGAGTCTAGCAGCTATATATAGAGAAAGTCTCTTTTAGGGAAACTGGTGTCATTCTGTGGTTTCGCTGTGCTGATGATTCACTTATACGGCTCAAGACACTGGAGTACAGCTGTGAAATTCCTAACTTGAAGACCAGGCTATTCCCCATATGTCTCAGCCATTGCTCATCTCACTAGATTGCTCTTTCCCACA